ACACAGACCTCAAGTTTAAATGGCCGTTGACGTCAAACAAACCTTTGCGCAGTGACGATGGGCGACCTACAGAAACAGAACAGGTCTTGCGTCAAAAGGTTCTGGTTGCGTGGCTATTAGGACAACCCATGCGCCTGCAACAATCAACTCGAGAACTCATCATGCGGGGATCAAGTCTCTGGAGCGAGTTTCATGATCCCAATACCGATATGACTGCTGCATGGTGGAATCTGCCTGATGGTTTAGAGGGTAAGTGAAAATCTAGGCTCGAGGTGCAGTTACAATGCTAATTCTTGTCCAGAGGAGCTCCGACACAGGCGTGAATGTATCCTCAACACCGTCTCCTCTGTCCAACGACATTTCCTCGCACTGTTCTCATCTCGAGAGAGGCAGTGTAAACTCGGGTATGACTCGAGTGCGGCATGTGACTCCTACCAGCTTGGTCAAATGCTCAAATTCCTGGTGAACAAGAATTTGCTCTTCCTCGTTGACTACAGCCCAGCGTCATTGAACATGGTTCCTGATACTGCGATGATCGAGATTGAGGAGCTCCTTTCAACGCTTCAGCAGTGCCCGAGTTATCAGATTGACAAGCATCACACAAACTGCGGGTTACGGGTTCGACTGGAACCTATCCTGAGTTATATGCGGTCGATGCTCTCAGCTGGCGTCATCGCGATACCGTATGCCGACTGGAAAAAAAGACCGACTGAAATCTCGTGGCTGGCTCTAAGGGAACACGCTGTCGATGACAAAGATAGCCCACCCAAAAAGTTTCAGTTTACACGAGCGATTGCCAACGATCAAAGGTTACGTTACGAAGGAGCACTTTATGTAGACAAAATGGCAAAGGCCATGTTCATGGCAGATGAATGGGATTGGACTCCTGAAAGTTGATAAGATAGAGCAAGACTTGCTTGTTGCGTGTAATTGGATATAGACCAAGCTAGACTCATAGAGTCGTTAGAAAGCTAAGTGAATTATACAATAAATCCCCAGCAGATGAGTCCTCGACCCTCTTTTCATATATTCTCTTAAGCGGTGGTAGTCTTCTCTGTTGCAACGTTCTTGGGAGTTGAGCTTGCGTGGCTCTCAGCATCATCAACAGCGTTGGCAGGGGCCTTGGTCTTTCCGAATGGCAGTCTGCCATGTGTCTCCTTGAAACGCATGATGATGAAGCCGATCATGACGCAAATCCAGTACAGGTTATAGGAGATTACAGAGCCATAAGTAGCGGAGTTTGTCCAGCCAAGGATAGCATTGAAGATACCCCAGCCGTTCTGGATAGCTTCGGTGGAGGCACAGCACTAAAGAGTGGTTAGGCTATTGAGGTGAGCTTGGGAGATGAAGACATACGTTGACGTGCCAGACACTCTGGTCAATATCATAGGAACCAGGCCCGTTCCCAAACTCACCAGCTTCACCACCAATGTACTCGTTCCACTTGGCCATCTCGAAACTCCAGACAGAGCGAGAAAAGAGACCAGCGCCCACGAGGTACAAGAGGCAGGTCGAGAGAACGAGGAAGAGTTGAAGCTTGGTGCTCGCACCACCCCTGGATCAAGTCAGCCGCTAAATATCATCACACTTATATATAAAGCACTTACTTGTAAAGAAGGTAGCCAACACAGCAGCCAGCAAAAAGGCCGACGACAGTCGGGAGAGGGATGGACTTGGCCGAAGCAGAAAAGGATACACCAGCGACGAAGACAACAGCCTCGATACCCTCTCGAAGGACGGTGACAAAAGGCAAGACGAACATGGCGTACTTCTCGATAAACTGCTTGAACCATCCCTTGGAACCAGCCTTGATTGGCGATTCGAGAGCCCTTGCCAGCTTGACTCGCCACTTTGCTTGCATCTTTCCGATACGGAGTAGAGCAGCGCCCATAACGGAGATGATCAGGGATGCGAAGAGGCAGAATGCACCTTCATAGTAATACTCGTTCTTCTCCCACGAGTTTCTGCCAACAGTGTAGAAGACACCGATGACAGCAGCAGCCACAACCAAACAGATAAAGAAGCCGATACCTGTTCCAAGCCATACCTATAAGTTTAGTCAGTATTCAAGGCAGATCTAGTAAATATCTCGTATTGATTTACTTGACGTCTCAGCTGTTTGTACACTTTGATGTCGCCATTAGGACCGTCAAGGGTTTGCTTGAGGAAAGCAAGCAAGACAGAAACAATGATGACTGTCTCAAGAGTCTCTCGAAAGACAACAAGGAAGACGGGAACCGCAAAGACGTCTACGGCCATGTTGACAGTTGATAGTGTCGTGCAGTTGAATAACTTGAGAGAGCTGTGTTGGGCTCAGGATAAGAGGGGAGCTGTCTTGAGCTCAAGTATAAGGTGATACAGTAGAGCGAGAAGTATGGGAATGTCAAGAAGAGGGTGTGGTAACGGAGATATTGAATTTGATGTTACACTTGGTCCCTTTTGGGATTGGAGCAGCTTTTGAACGATCTAGTCATCACAGGCTGCCGATCAGATAACTTTCTTGCTCTTACGAGAAGAAAATCTTGAACAGGGGATCAGAAGACACACGATCTGATTTAGTATCCGCATAACAACCTTGTAAACTAAGCTTGTTGGCTAAGCGTATGCTTAGACGAGTTGCACTTTTGAGATGCCGCAAGGATCAGCAGAGTAAAGCGCGGAATGTGAAAAACCCAGACAAGAGAACCTGGTCGAGAATGAAACGCGAGCTACCGAGTACCGGAGCAATGGCCAGAAAACAGCCCATGATCGGACTTGTTTGGGTTGTTGGATGGTCGGTGGCTTGCTGCTGCTAAGTTAGCTCGTCGACGCTCGGCAAGGAATTGCCGTAACGTGGGATGTTTCCTCATGGGGCGACCTTAATCAATCAATCAGATAATTCTGTGACTGCAGATTAAGGGTGTGAATGTCCTAGATTTCCCGCAATTGGGCTGTTTCTTATTTTGATGCTTAACGTTTAACTTGAAGTGACTTCGGCCCTCATTGTGCGCACACTTCTTCAGGCTGAAGTCGGTTCAAGAAGAATGGAGGAATACTCATTGACGAAGCTACATTGGTGGAAGCTTAGGATAGCTCCGTGTCTCATAGCACCCCACAATGCGACCTCGGATCCCAGCCAAGAGTCAAATGCCGATATGCTCGTGCTTGTATCGGACTGACACGGATAATCGTGGTGGCTTTCGGAAAAGCTGTAGTCACCGTATTCTGGAAAGTATCATGCCCAAGCCTTGAATTTCAGATGAGGCAAATTTGGAATCTCAACTGCGTTCCCTCCGAAGCGGCGATGTTCCGTCGAGATGGATGGTAGTGACAGTTCAGCCGCACTCATGCAGCTGCATCAAGGCAAGCGGCTGACGGTCAAGGGTGTTATGACCTGCTGGTCCAAGATCAAAGTTATCATATCAAAAAGATCAGGAGATAATCATTATCTGATCCGAAGTAACCACCATTACTGACAAAGCCGAGCCAGACGAGATAACGTTAATCAAGGGTTAGAGAACGCCGCGGCTGAAAATTCTGAGTGGCATGGCTCGTCAAGATCTCGGGTTCGCCTGTGATGTTGAGGCTTTATTGGAGAGGCTTGTCCGTTGTCAGACCACTCGTTGGTTGCTAGTACCATGGAATGGCTCTCGACCGTTGAAGGGCCCACTCATGATCGTCTTAGTCAAATCGAGACCATGTGGCTGTTGTTTTCGGCTTTGGTATGCCGCGGGATCCTCTTTTTCGCAAGGACTTGTTATTTCTTGACACCGTGATAGTGATTGGAAGAGGTCACTCTAGTAATGTATTTTGCTTCTGATTGAAACTGGATGAACAGAGCCAAGGGTCCTCGGTATCCGGGGGGTAAAAACGATCGCCAAGAGGCTGCAGCGCCTGTGATAGCTGTGGGTGACCCGGCTTGGCATAAGATAGGCAGGCTGGGCAGGGTCTGCAGGGAGAGAAGATCGTGGACCCTTGAATGAGCTTCCAGGGATCGGGAGTGTCTGTGCCGAAAATGTGGTACCAGTTGGGAACTCAATTCTTTGGCCTCTTTCGAAGCGAATCATATGTCAAGAAGCTTTAGCGGCATTGAAAGAGAGAGGAAAACACGAGGAAGAGGTTGCGATTGATAAGATGAAGCTCAGAGTGGGGTCATCATTTAGCATTAGATGAACCAGAAGGGGAAAGGTGTGGAATCAGCTTGGTCTTCACTAACCTTCTACCGTTAATGACTCCTCCACCTTAACTCTTCAACCTTGCACTTACACGGTCTTTCTCGATGGTTTCAAGCCTTCTCAAGCCACAATGGATCAACAGCTGCTCATCTTATCCATCTGCAGGCTGATCCTTGCTCGTCTAGAACGATCACATTCACGTTCTCTAGTTCTCTCTTGCACACGCGCACCGATTCCGCAGTTGTGGTTCAGCCCAAAGCCTTGACCCTGATCAGCTCATTCCAGCTTTTTTAACAACCATCATGCGCCAACTTCGTTTCTGTGTGTCAACCACGTTTGGCGCCGCAGAATTGACTCGCTAGTCGGACGTTCTACCCGAATTATGTCCATCCCATGCATGGATGGATCAGCAAGGGTTATCAGACTAGACAGTTCAGTAGCTGGATCATCTTTAGGCGATTCTTGACTTGCTTCGGCTCTCGGTATCACCTTTTACTTACTACCTACTTTTCTGGTGTTGGTGCTACCCAAACTCTGACCAAGGACTGTGCATGCATCTTCTTTTCCCCATGTCCATACCGTAAATTGATCATCCCACCAACCCCCATCTTATACTCAATCTACTTCCGGTTTTATCCATCTAATCTATTCAATCTGATCCATCTCGCTTCTTCTTCTGCTTTTGCCTCTTGACATCTGCTTCCCACAAGTGCCTTACAAGCTTTTATACCTCCCTGCTTGGGCCTGTCCCTCTCCTCTTTCATCTTGTCTCTCTTCCTCACCATAGTCTCTTGTCATACTTCAAGCTGTTGAGGCTGAGGCGACTTGGGTCCTCACACCTTCAGAATGCTTTTCAACTCTTTATCAGTTGAGGCAGCATTGCTTCTCGCCCTTCCTCATCTCGCTTCCGCAGCTACCAGAAAGTTTGATTTCGATATTGGCTGGGTCAGAGCTAATCCTGACAATGCTTTCGAGCGCCCAGTTATTGGCATCAATGGCAAGTGGCCAATCCCTACAATCGAGGTTGACATTGGTGATCGGGTCATCATCAATGCTCACAATAACCTGGGCAATCAATCAACTTCCCTGCATTTTCATGGTCTCTACATGAACGGCACCACCCATATGGATGGCCCTGCCGGTGTCAGCCAATGCCCAATTGTTCCTGGAACCAGTTTCACGTACAACTTCACTGTAAGGAGGCTCGAGATCCCCTCTGTATCTCTAGATTTAACATATCCACCACAGGTCGACCAACCAGGTACCTACTGGTATCACAGTCACACTGCTGCTCAGTACCCTGACGGTCTGCGTGCTCCCTTTATTGTTCACGATAAGGATTTCCCCTACAAGGATAAGTATGATGAAGAGGTTATCTTCTCTCTCTCTGATTGGTATCATGATGAGATGCAATCCATGATTCCCAAGTTCATGAGCAAGGCCAACCCTTCAGGCGCCGAGCCCGTGCCTAACAATGCCTTGATGAACGAGACCACAAACTTCACAATGTCTGTCAAGCCCGAAACAACCTATCTGTTCCGTACTATCAACATAGGCGCCTTTGCCGGCCAGTATCTCTGGTTTGAGGGGCACAAGATGCGCATTATCGAGGTCGATGGTATTTATACCGAAGAGGCTGAGGCAGAGATGATCTACATCTCGGCTGCTCAACGTGTCAGCTTTTTGCTCACTACCAAAAAGGACACTTCCAAGAACTTCCCAATTGTTGCCAGCATGGATACTGTGAGTACTGTCAGCTTAAGAAGGGCGATAAAGCAAAAGCTGACAACCTCACCTAGACTCTTTTTGATGTCCTGCCCCCGGATCTTAACTACAATGCCACTGGCTGGCTCGTCTATGATGAAAAGGCTGACAAGCCAGACGCCGCTACTGTTGAGACTCTGGACCCCCACGATGACATGAAGCTTGTTCCATACGACAAGATGGGCATTCTTGGGAAGCCTGACCAGGAGTTTACTCTCGATGTCAAGATGGAAAACCTCAAGGATGGAGCCAACTACGCCTGGTTCAACAACATCACCTACGTCGAAGCCAAGGTTCCCACTCTGTACACCGCCCTCAGTGCAGGCAAGGACGCTGAGGATCCCAGTGTTTACGGCACTTACACGCACTCTATGGTCCTTAAGAAGAACGAGATCGTACAAATTGTCGTGAACAATCTCGATTCTGGCCGCCACCCTTTTCATCTTCACGGACATGCATTCCAGTCTGTCTACCGTTCCGAAGAGGAGGCTGGCATCTGGGCCGATGCCAATGTCACTGAAGCCGATCTGCCCAAAACCCCTATGCGACGTGATACTCTTGTCATTTATCCCAACGGTAACATTGTTATGCGTTTCAAGGCCGACAACCCAGGTATGTGCCAAAACACAATTTGAGAAGGAATCCACCTAATTAACCATTTTCAGGTGTTTGGCTATTCCATTGCCATATTGAATGGCACGTGGTGTCTGGTCTCATTGCCACCTTCGTCGAAGACCCTCTTACCCTTCAAGAGACCATACAGATTCCTAAGAACCACCTAGATGCCTGCGCTGCTGCTGATATGCCGACAAAGGGAAATGCAGCTGCCAATACTGAGAACTTCCTTGACCTTACTGGCGAGAATAAGCCTGCCAAGGCTTTGCCTGCTGGGTAAGTCCCTCTAATCCCATTGCTTCATGAGACTGGCACACTGACACTCCTTCAAGATTCACCCCTCGTGGTATCGTTGCTCTCGTCTTCAGCTGTATCTGCGGTATCCTCGGTGTAGCCGTCGTTGCATGGTATGGATTTTCTGCACCTATCGACCCAACCAGTGCCGGTGCTCTCAGCGCTGGCATCGTTGATGGTAGCGATTCGGGTGACGGCAACCCTGCTCAGAAGGGACCTCAAGAGACAGTTGTTTCCCCTTCGGGTGGTGCGAGAAGTCACTAATTATGGGCCGGGTCCATATCTTCTAGAGCTGAGTGGCCTTGCTTCTAGGGCGCTTTTAATTTGATGATATATATTAGTGTTTAAATATACCACTTTGTTACTTGTTTGGTTCATCTTTAATACTATTTTGGTGTCCTTCTCTTTCGTGCAGAACTGTGTTCTAATCTTTCATCGCCAGCGTAGCTCCAGTTCGAAGACCCATTGCCTATAGTATCTTCTATTTTTCAGGGGTCCGCATAATCAAGGGGCCGTTGACCTAAGTTCAGTTCTCAGAAGACAAAAGATATGATTGAACCACGTAGTCAGTCGCTTCGATCTGCTCATATGTGTCTAGGTTTCAGGAAATTACATGCCTTTCTGCTCGATAAATGAGCCGAGGAGCTGATCGTTGGGTGGGAAGCGGAAATGCTTCGTTCAAGGGGTCCAAGTGTTACCGAGCGTGTTGAGCGAGATTGAGGTTGTGCTGCGAGTCTCGCTATCTGGCCACAAGAGCTCGAGGCAGAAATCATGGTCAATGGCCAGATGGCATATATTGGATTTCAGGCCGGCCAATACCCACAACGAAGCCATCGTCAAACTCTGTTGCTCCTAGCATCTGGGGACTTGACTCGGGCATCATGGCATCTAGGTCTTAAATTTTATGTATGAGTGGACGGCGAGCATGTATGTCTGCCCAAGACTATGTTGAGTTCTAGGGATATCTGGCTCTGGCAGAATAGTCAAGTTTTGCATAACAAGTCAAATGACTGCTACTCCCATCTCGGATTTCGAAACCAGCTTTCTTGTTCCTTTATGAGACTGCTCGGTGCCATATCATCTATATTTATGACTGCTCTATTTGTGACTAAGTCTATCATATAGAGCCACTGTGGACATAAAGATGGAGAAGCTTACTTCCGTTGGGTGATGATGGAAGAAGAGCCAGATCAATCGCAGTGCTCATTAACCCGGTTATATTATTCCTTCTGCATGCTTCACCAGGGCTTACTGGTGACCGTGCTTTTACGGAAAAGGGTGATGTTAAACTCAGTAAACCTTTGTTTGATAATGCTCCCGTGACCACCTGCTTGTTTAGATAGCCTGATGCAAATCCATAGATTTTCCTGGACATCACCAGATTATGTTCTACCTAAATCCTCAGCCGGGTATGAGCTTATGCGCCGCCGTGTACCGGTTGTGATGGTGATTAGAAGGGAACAATTGTCAACAGCCATTGCATCATGATGTGATATCACAAGCTTAACATATTCTTTTGTCTCACACCTTCATGTTTGTGCAACCTGTTACAAATCTCGTTACCTCTCACCCGTTCAATAATGCCAGTGTCCAGAATCACACACAATTTTCACTTAAGAATACAAAAAAATCTATTAGCTCGTTTTCAAGTCTTTCAAAGCCCACATCCTTTTGACGATTTGAACCCCCCGCCGTGGGCGTATCCCTCACGTATAGATCTCGAGGATACACAACCGTCTGATCATCACACGTCTCATCAGCACCTTTCGCTAGCCACCTCATCATCGGCTAGATCCTCAAGCGGGGAGGGAGAAACAAGAGAAATGGGGGCCAGACAAGCCCCACTGCGCCTTATGAGACATGACAGAGAGGATTGCACATCGAAGTCAACACCTGTATTTCTCAGGGCTGGAACAACCCTTTTAATCATGTTTGCAACGCAAACAAAGAGGCACATGAGACAATACCGAGAGTTATAGGCTGAAATGCAATGGCGTTATGCTCCCATATCATTCAGAACTCCAAGAATCGGTAAAGGAAGAGAAGTACAGCAGGAAATGCCATGTTTTCAAAAAAATAATTCCGAGTAAAAAGGAAAACAGGGAGGGTATAAGTGTGGTTTAGTTGAGCACAGTCATCAAGCTCGTAGTGCCATGGGCATTCAGTGAGACGTTTACTGGTTGATCTTCTCGTTGACGGCAGTGGTGGTCTCGGCCTTCTTCTGGTGCAGGAAAGAGCTCAACCAAGAGAGTGTCTCGTTGCTAACGACGAGGACGGTGGTAACAGCAGCTTTTCCGTGCGCGACGAGGCCTCCTTGCTCGACCTTCTTAATCTCAGAGTTGTAGACCTGGAAGACGTGGTCCTTGCCCTCAAGACCCTTCTGAATGGGGAAGAGGATGAGAGCGCGGGTATCTTGGTAGAGTTCGTCGGTGGGCTTCTTGACGACGGGGAACTTCTCATCGATGCGGTCGAGGGTCTTGTCGCCTAGCGAGTCGACCTTCTGGACATAGGGAGAGACAAATTGGTAGGGCTTGGCGAAGTAGGGGACGACGGGAGCGGCGAAGGTCTGGTAAGCGGCGTCGGTGAGCTTGATGGAGCGCTGGCCGAATTCGTTGGACTTGAAGGTGTGGACGCCGTCGCTAATGACAGGGTAGTTGAGGAGATGCTGCGAATGGGTTAGTTTGGGTCGCAAAGTGGTGAGCTATTCAGTAATTACCTGGACGAAGGCAGAATATTGAGCAGTGCTCACGTCGCCGTTAACTTGGTGAGACATGGTAGTGGTTTAGGAATGATCGCACAGAATCGGTTTCAGTGGTGAAGTCGCAAGGTTCGAGATAAAGTCAATTGCTTGTCGGAATCGTGATGACGGTCGATGACGAGTGATAGATAAGCTTGGATTCGAGTCAGGAACGGTAATTTTGTAAGAGAGAGCTTCAGGTGGGATGGGATGGTGTAAGGCAGAAGAACAGAAGAGAAGAAGGTGGGAAAGTGGGATGGTAGCAATTGAAGGGGACCTGCAGAGGCTAAAAAGAACAGGACGAGGAAGAGGGGAGAGTAGTAGTCAGGACTACCTAGATTGTGTGTCTGTGTGTGCGTTACGTCTGAGGTCAGAAGGAGGGAGAGGAGGGAGATGATGTTGGTGGGACGCCACAGCTTGGAAGTCAAGTACCTACAGTTTTTGGTGTAAAAGAACTAGGAGGAAGAAGGAAAGGAAGAGGAAAGGGCCCATCTAGGTTAATAAATGCGCTTTGGGTGTGCTGTAGGTGCTGCCCAGTAGGCAGGGGGTTAGAAAATTCCGGAAAGTAACCCACCTTTACGATACAGCAAATATCAAGGTGCAGCTGTTTTTTGCCATCGCGAGGATTTTGGAGGAGTGAGTGAGTGTTAGGGAGCAATCAATTTGCATGTGCAAATGGGCAAACATGTGCTTGTACTAGACAAGGTATCTTTAGAGCTATTTTGGGCTGAGTGGATACTTGACGTAGCTTGGACATGTACTGCTATGTAGTAATTCATTATCTTGTGGCTGATTCAAGTTGTTTCTTGTGAGTCTCCCTTTTTGATATTGAATGACGGAAAGAGATTAGCATCATTACATCTCCGCTGAGTTTTTAGCTGAGGTTATTCAAGTGATATTCTAGCCGCATGCTTTTCTATTCTTGTAGCCCTCATTAAACACCCATTTGATGATAGCAGTAGGTATCAGTCAGTATCAGTCACTCGGTACAGGCATTGGTGGGGTGCTGTTGGGCCTTTGTGACACCATCACCGCCAAAAGCTCTGCAATGGTTCGACTCAGCCGCATGCCCTGTCTTTGAGTGTTCATTCCTCGTTTCATCTCTTTCCTCAACAACCATTCGACCCCGGGAGGACGGGAGCTCATTAATTAGGTACGTACCCCTGCCGCTCGCGTAATGTCCCTGCAGGCAGTAAAAGGAAAGAATGATCTCCATGACATGTGAAAGTGGCCCCTCCCCCCACTCTCCAAGCAATAACGTTTCCCTTACTCCAAACATAACCAACACCAAGATTATCAATTCGACTCAAGTATCCCCAACAAAAGAAAGAGCTTGAGCTACAAAATCTTTGCTTACTGATTATGGCGTGCAGCTATTGCAATTCCCCTCCATCGACGCCACGCGTCCTTGGCGTCAATCAAAGAAAGAATGAGCACTTGACACCATCTGCGTTCCTTTTGGGTATTCCGAGATGACATTCAAGTGAACGAGACAGTTATTACTTCGGGGGCTTTGATATCTCCACTGTCTGCAGCCGGCTTATCAACTCCTTCCGCGGGCTCGGATAGCTGGCACATGAATGTGGAAGCGTTACCTCTCCTCGGAGATAATGGCCAATGGCCAATTCCATGGAGTGCTATACTGCAATACTGCAATACCACGCAATGCAATGCAATAGAGAGCCAGATACAACTCAATCTTCGTCATGATGCGTTTCAACACGACGCTTTTCCAAGTCCGTGTTTCCTCGCATTGCGTCTGCAAGCGCCCGGTCTACGGCTAATCCTCATCTGTGTATTCCGTACTCCGTATGGCTTATCTCGGGCATTTTGAAGACTTAGCTATCCGTTCAACCTAGCAATAGCAATCAGGTCGGATCAGCAACTCCTCTCCCCCTTGCAACCTTGCTAGGAACCAATCGCCGCCTCGTTCAGTCTCAGCCAGGCACTTAACTTGTCAGCTATTAACCACTAAACCTACTTGGTAACAGGGTAGCAGTCCGCGCATACAGTACGAAAGGCACTTTTTATCGCTCTTTGGTGTAGTCGCCATGTGAGGCATTCGGTCAATGCTAAGGCGAATTCAACGCATTGATAAGAGACCTCTCATCCTGCTGCCGACTTGGCGAAAGGCAATCCAGCTGCTGCCGCGGCTAAACATCATACCAGACACGAGCTTGACTACCGGCCTCGGATCTCATGAAAAAAAGAATAAATGTCGCTTCCAGAAAAGCGGCTCCGTCTCGTGGCCACGAACTCGATTCCCTTTTCGACCTCTGCTCCATAGCCGCATCACGTTAATGGAATCGCTCTATTACCTTATCGACCGATCACCCAAAGCCCCAAGGGTCCCCTGCTACGTGGCATGCTCCCCTGTTTCTGAAGACTGAAAGTCGTCTATGGCCCGCTTGCAGCCACTTTCACATGTCAGGAATTGTCGAGTGATGACTGAGTGATAGGCGATGAATTCATCAATTGATTAGACGTGGGTGCCCCCTTGAAAGTCTCAAATCAAGCAGACGGATGCGCTTGTGTAACCCTGATCGACAGTATATTCAACGTCTCATTACGCATGCTCGGCAACGCACGCCAGCAATACAAAATCTCACGATCTTCAAGTAACACCAGTGAACAACGCCAGCATTCCCCTCTAACCCACACATTCCTTTTAGCAAACTGTTGACCAACACTTTACATGATTTCCATATTTTTCCTCACGGCTCTTTTTCGTCTTCTGCATTGAGACTGCTCCTCTCATGCTTCACCATATTTACGCCGCGTCACTTCGGCATATCGTGATCACGACAGGATGCATATTTGCTTGACACGCCGTTGCTCTGCATCTTTGGTGAGCGATGTACGAAACCCAATGGCTAGGGCCACGCATCCCCTCAGTATCACATGTCGAACACAAATTTACTCTTCGTTATCGCTATGCCTATCGTGATCGCGGCAGCTCAGCACGATAGCTTCCGTCGGTCAATGTGGGCCTCATCTACACCTAGCATTTGATTTCAGGCTAGTCAACAGCCCTACATAACTTGCATGTTCCCTTCCTCATGCTCGTGCTCATGCGTGGGAGATCCGCTCGCTTTGATTGATCTGACTTACAAGGGCTCTTCGGATTATCTTGGACCACATGCAAGACCCTCAAATTCGGCTTGTTTCCGATGATCATAGTCCATAGCATTTTTTCTGGGCTCGGTTCCCTGCATTGTCGCGGCGCAAGCCATATGCCAGTCTCGAAATATTCGTGCACCAATATACACAACGCCTGAAGATCGCAGATTTTCAGATTTACGAGTATGACTGGTCTAATTTCGAAACCCACTTATCGCATTATCGGAGGCACGGACAAAGGTCGATATAACGATACTGTTCACATTTCACAAAGCAACACTGCTTTCACCATCAAGGTCACCTGTTGTCTTACAGCAGCTTGTTAACCCGCACCCAGGACTCGCATTACGAATCACATCGCTGAACGCCGTGAAGCCTAGCGGTGTTTGTTTGCCGACTTCCTTGGGGATCTTCCAATGTCTCACTTGAGTTCTGACAATGAGGAATATCTCCGCCTGCTAAGGGACGGCTCGATGCGGATCGAAATGTCAGCTGCTCAAATACTGAAGCTCAATTGGTTGCGACACCTGTCAATCGGCGATCAACGTCAGGCCTCAATACGGTCAGATGCGAAAATGATGAATTTATTGCACGATGCGTGGTAAGTGATGCTGTGGCGAAAGCAAATTGGTGTGCACAGACAAATAGATGTGCTTCACACATTCAGTGAGACATATGGTATACAAGTGGTACAACTGCTGCTGCTGCTCCTCTTCTTTAAATTCCCATCTCTCAGTCACGACCTCTCTTCCATCTGTCTTTCTACGTTAGATATAGTATAGTTACTTTCAGGTACCGTACTGTAATCGAATTCTATCAATATGATGTTTTACAACCTCGTTGCTTTCGCACTGTTTGTGACACCGTCCTTGAGTCGAACCAGCGATAAAGAGATACATCTTCAATGGTCACTATGTGATCGTGATGGAGAAGCCGTCCTCGAGAAACTGGGGGAAGAAGTTCGCCCACCCTACAAGCGCAACCCGATCACATATTTCGACACCATGCCACCGACTCATGCGCAACAAGGTGTCATGTTCCGTACAAAGACGAACAAAGGAACCCCGTTTTCTGTCATCAAGGTCCGCTTCGATGAGAAACCAGAGCGCATTCCTCCGAGCGCCCATTGCGTCTATGATCGATACGGAGACAACGTTCCATTCACTTGTGGTCAACGGTACCTCCTGAGCGATAAGACCAAGGAGATCTGGAGCGACGACCAAGTGCGCTTCGCAGAAAAGTACGACGACATTGATTGGGATGGCCTTGTACCCTACGGGCCTTTCCCAGATGGCAAGTGGAAGTTGAAGATATTGGGACACAAAGCGAAGCTAGATGACGTAGTGGCTGGAGAGCTTCACCTTATGGAGATAGAATTGTCTACGGCCAAAGCTGGATCTGAGAAGGTGTATCAGGAGGTCACTGAGTATCTGAGAGAGCACCGTGTATTGCTCTGCGATCCCCAGGCGTCAAAGACACTGCGCCTGTTTCGCGATATGGGATACATTGATGACGGAGACACTTGGAGTGAGGAGCTGTAGTTACTCGTCATACGTGTGAATTCTCTCTCGGCCTATCAAGTTGCACAAGTACCCCCGAGCTTTTTCATTGGGATAAGAACATGGAGTTATTGGAAACACCTTATAGTTTTTACACGTATACCCTGTGTAACTAGAAGCTGACATAATGAACCTCAGCAGTTATGCTCACCTGACTATCAGGATTCTTGCCAATCTTGCCCCTAACGTAATCCTGTTCTCGTCCTCGACTTTCTCCTTATCGCTGCTCTTACACCCAGCATTGCCCTCAGCATTCTCATCAGCATCCGCCTAACCCTCCTATTACTATCAATATTCTTCCCAACACTCGCCTTCGTATGTTGCTTGACATTGACTTTAGCGCCATATGCAATTCTTGAGAGCTCCTAGATCCTCTGCATGAGCCATATAACTAAGGCTGCCGTGTAAACGTTACTCCAAGGACGGTTTTATTTATGCAGCAGAAGCCTCAACGGCAGTTTCACTATTGTTTTTTAGTATTATCATCCTCGTCTCCACTATTACCATAGATATCCTCATCATTGTCGACTAGGCATGCTGAACGGGCATGAGGTGGGTCTATAGGTGGAACAGCGCGATTGACTGGCCTTTCAGGAGCCTGTGAGTCTATTCGTTGATGATGAGGAGTCGTTGCAATGAGATCTTGGGCGTTGTTCTGAGCTCCTTCTTGGTCATTCTCCTGGGTAGTGTTTTGAGTGGTCTCTCGAATGTTCTCCTGAGCGATGCGTTGAGCGCGACGTTGAGTGCGACGTTGTTGAGCCTTGTCTTGAGCGATACCTTGAGCGAGCTCTTGATAGACGCCTTTCATGAAAGCTTTAACACTTTTTTTAGTGTTACCCGGGGGGAGATTCTGAATGATATCTTGGGCGATGTCCCGATCGAAATACTGAACGATACGTTGAGTGTTGTTTCGGGCAATACCTCGAGCTTTGTCTTGAGTGCGACCCTGAGCGCGAATTTGAGCGCGACGTTGAGTGCGGCGTTGTCGGGCCTTTTCTTGAGCAATACCTCGAGCTTTACCTTGGGTGATATCCTGAGCGCGACTTTGAGCGATATCCTGTGCGTCCTCTAGCTCTAAATTGAGAATTTGAGCCAGACTTTGAATAAGACTTTGATTGATACCTTGGGCATAACATTGAGCGTCCCATCGATGGAGATCCTTGTCAACCCTTCGAGCCCACTGCTCGAATTGCTGGGCGAAACTTTGAGCACCCCATTGATTCATACCCATGGTGATAGGAACGTCCCATGGATCGATACCCTGGGCGATGCCTTGAGCGTTGCCTTGATCGATACCCTGGGTATAACCTCGAGTGATGCCTTGAATGTTGCCTCGAATGTTGCCTTGAGCGATACCTTGAGTGTTATTTTGAGTATTATTCTGAGTGTTACCCTGAGTGGTATCTTGAGTGTTGTTTTCAGTATTATTTTGAGCGTTGCCTTGAGTGATACCTTGAGCGTTATTTTGAATATTGTTTTGAATATTGTTTTGAGCGTTATTTTGAGCGTTGTTTTGAGCGTTACCGTTATCATCGAAATTCTCATCCTCATCCATAGGCTCTGGTGTCTCATCAATAAAAGCCTCCATTTCTTCGAGTGTCTTTGTTTGTCTATGCTCCCACTCTTCATCTATCTCCTTCTTCTCCTTCATGTGCGCTTCGAGAAGCGTGTCTTTGAGCCATTCGCACTCAATGAACAGAATGTCGAGCATTTCATCCCTGTTCCACCACGTCATATTGGTATTACACATGTTGTATGTATCGATGAGTTTCTTCTGTCCCTTCAACAGGAACTCGAGTTCCCAGTCATTGGTGTAGATTCCGTGGAGGACGAACAACAAAGCAGAAGCAAGTCCCATTGTATTCTCAAACGTCTTCTTTGCCAAGGCCCTGAGCGTGCCACGATTCTTGTATAAGGGGTGGTTCTTGTAATCCTTCCACTCATCGTTGTTGCTGATGACGAACCATTCACGCCAGATGAAGTACTTGATGGCGCGCCTGCGCCAGTAGGGAAATAGGTGCCTGTGGTATTTGACGGCGTCTAGGAAATTTTCGATCAGGGCGCAAGCATTTCGTCTGTTGGTGAGAGGAAATGGGCACTCGAGGGGCAAGTGGAAAATGGTTATCTTGTTGCAGAGATTCGCCTCCTCCCACTCTGTGACTTCGTCCCACTCCAAACGCGGTTTCGGGTCCTTGAATTGCTTGCCATTATCGTACCACGGCTTTTGAGTGATGTTTTGTTTTGTCATCTTACAAGATAAAAGACCGATACAGAACTAACGTGATGTTTGAGAGAGTTCGTCGATATTTGGGGGTGTTTTATGCCAGGTAGAAATCTGGAAGGGAGAAGCGTTATCTGTCCAAAAACGTGATTCGTTTTTAAGAAAAAAGCCACACAGAAGCAGCAGGAGCGCATCATTTGCATATTCCAACAAATCTCCTCCATGATCAGAGGAAGGTTGTAAATGAAAGCTACCTTAAGGTACCAAAAGTATGTAAGTTTAGGGTAGGCAGTACTCGGAAATACGGATATCAGATCTTACGTTAGTCATTATCTCCACTTATTAGACATTCATCACCTTGGTCAGCCTTAGCAAACCAAAAATATTGGGGACCATTCCATTCTAGCAATAGCTAGGCCCATAGGTTGCAAAGCAAACCACCACAATTTAGCTGCTGATGCAACATTGACTAAACATCTCTAACCCCCACCACGGATCAATTCGATCCAATGCCATCCATGGCTTATTCTATCTATTTCTACTCGTAGGACCCTGCATTTGTCGTGCTTGCAAATTCATCTTCTCATCCAACCTGATCTCTCGTAGTATATAAATCCCCTTTCTCAACCGCCCTCCCTGGTCATGACCCTTTTTCGTTCCATCTTCATACCAGTATTCATTGCTCTAGCAGCTATTGCATTGTTCCAACATCGTATCAAGGACACAGCAACTTCAACCTTTGAATTCCTAAGGACTCTTACGCCTCTGACTTTCGACAAGGCCAACACTCAGCACAAAGACCATCACCTTTACGCCACAGAAATGTCCGTCACTCGAACTGTTCGCAAGGTCTTCCTTGCCGTTGAGCAATCCGAAGGAGCTGGTGCTCGTGTTCGTCGCTCAATTGGCACTCCTCAGCTTCGCAACTTTTCTCCTTTTCTCATGCTCGATCACTTCTCCGTGAAACCTGGTGCTGGTTTCCCTGATCATCCTCATCGTGGCCAGGAGACTATCACATATCTCCTTGAGGGTGGCATGGATCACGAGGATTTTGCTGGCAACAGGGGTACTCTCTCCGCTGGTGACCTTCAATTTATGACTGCTGGAAAAGGTATGAACCACTCACTTATCCTAATAGCGAGAACTTACTAACATTGACCCAGGTATTGTGCACGCTGAGATGCCTCGACAAAACGAGGATGGCAGCGCAAACGTCGGCCTTCAACTCTGGGTCGACCTTCCAAAGGACCTGAAGGCTTGCGAACCTCGGTATCGCGACCTCCGTGGCTCTGAGATCCCCATCGCCAAAATTGACGATGACAAGGTCACTATAAAGGTCATTTCTGGTCAGAGCCACGGCATCGACTCAGTCAAGGATCTCGCTTACACACCCGTTTGGTTCCTCGACATTGAGATCCGCCCTGGTGGCAAGATCACTCAGCCTCTCCCCGCAAACTGGAACGCCTTTGCCTACACTCTCGATGGAGATGTTATCGTTGGCAAGGATGACCAGCAACGTGTTGTTGAGCAGTACCACAACATTGTCTTTGAGCCTCAGGGAGATGTTGTTCACTTTGAGGTTGATGCCGGTGCTTCGAAGCCCGCTCGACTAGGTATGTACAACACTTACCCCCGAAAAACTATGCATACTAACATTTTGATAAGCCCTAATCGCTGGTATTCCTCTTGACCAGCCCGTCATCCAATACGGTCCTTTTGTTCTCACTTCCAAGGAGGACGTCGCCAAGGCTCTTTTCGACTACCAGACCCACTCCAACGGTTTCGAGCGAGCAGAGAACTGGCAGAGTGAGATTGGCAAGTCCATGATGGACTAAACCTTTCATATATGTTGCTTGATGACTTGGCTGGCGTTAAAATGGGATATGTATTTAGCTATAACGACACTTATGAGCTAGGGGCGCTGTTTGAAAAATTATTTGTGTTGCATACATAAATGATACGAAGAATGATAATTATTATCGGTCCTCTGTAGTAATTCCACGGTCTGTCTACTATCGAAAATCTATCAGTCCGAACTAGATTCAAACAACCCCAGTCCCTCTCTAGGCACCTATTGCAATTGTTCTAAATGAAATAAGCCACTTGACAAGCGATTCTCCTTGGGTTCAACACCTTCATATCATTGTAATACATCAAGTCACACTGAATACGAATTGCACACAGTTTTGAAGAAGATTATCTATTACTATTTCTCAATGAATGTGAGAAGCAAAGTCCACCACCGAAGTCAGGCCGTAGAACGGGGATCACCATCCCAGAACCCATGTAACCATGAGAGACGACAGACACAGGCTGAGCTCGTGTCACGGCAGCACAAGTCTGCCGCTTCCCGTCGTCATTTCCCAAGCCACCGCCCCCTTCTTCATCTGTCACAAACCGCATCAAGATCCCATCCATTCTAACATTTCGCGTCATTTCCATTAAAGGAGAGATAAGCCGTATGCATCATTAAACCCTCGAAAAACCTGACCCGTCATGTCCATTCATACCATTCACCATTTTGTGAAGATTTTTTCCCGCAAACCGACTCCCTGCACCGAAGAAATATGCTAAGGGTCCCAAAAGATCGAGGTACAGGCGTGAATTATGTATCAAACATGTGCAACGTAAAAGCATCAAACATCAAATTATGGTCCAACCTGATTTAAAGGAGGAGCATGGCAATACCAGCAGCGGCGATGACACCAGCAGGGGCACCAGTCATCTGAGCAGCGGCCTGAATGAAAGTTAGAGATTTCTAATATAATATAGGAGTGGATGAACTTACAGCGTTGTCTGTGCCAGTGGTGGTGGCCGAAGCATCAGTGCCAGTAGCATCAGTAGCACCCTCGGTGGCGGTGGAGGCGTCAGTAACGGTCTCCGAAACCGACTCGGACTCAGAACCGCTGGTAACGGTGGTGAGAGTTCGGACAACCTCAGTGCCATCAGTGGTGAATGTGGTGACCTCGGCGGATGCGGCAGAGTCGGTAGAGGCAGTCTCGGTGACGAGAGTTCGGACGATCTCAGTACCATCGGAGGTGAAGGTGGTCACCTCAGCGGTCTCGGCGCCAGAGGTCTCGGTCTCAGCCTCGGAGGCAATAGTAGAGACGATGGTAGAGCCGCCAGAGGTGAAAGTGGTGACAACGGCACCGCCGAGGATAGCTTTGCCAGTGGTGGTGAACTCATCCCCCTCAGAGTTGGTGAGAACGCTGGTGTAGGTGCTCACAGAAACATCGTCGGAGGCGCCAGTAGCAGTACCGCTGATGGTGGAGAGAGCAGAGGTGATGGTAGAATCGCCAGAGGTAAGGGTGCTGAGGACAGTTCGAACGGCGCCAGAGCCAGTAGCAGTGGCCGAAACCTTGCCAGAAGCACCAGTAGTGATCTGAACACCAGCTCCTGCGGAAGGTTAGATATGTTAATTATTTTGTAGAATCAGGAAAACTTACGGCGGCAAATCTCAAGACCGTAGTTCAGGACCTGGGCGGCCTGCTCACCGTTGCAGATAGCAGCAGAGCAGTCACGGAGACCGTAGATGAAGTCCTGGTTGGTGCACAGGCAGCCAATATCACCGGCGTCACATCCAAGCTCCTGGGACTTCTCGGCGCTGACCATGTTGCCGGCGCAAGTTCGCTGCTCGTGGTTAGAGATACTCTAATTGTGCACTGCTTGGTTCAGACTTACACCACACTGGGGGAGATCATCGGAGCTCTGGGCGACGGCGGCAGCAGCCAGGCCGAAGATGGTGAGGAAAGAAGACTTCATCTTGATGATTTCGGTTGATCGAGGATCTATATCAAATTGATGAATTAGTTGAGGTTCCTTATGAAGTTTGTAGCGACAGTAAGAAGGCGATGGTGAACGAAGGTAGGTTTTGCGAGCGTGTTGGGCGAGCGATGTAAACGAGGGCAAGTTAGGCAGTGAATCACCGCCAGCTGGAGAAGAGGCGGCCCGTGAATAAATGAAGTGCGAGTACCGGCGGTCTGCTCCTGAGGCACGCGAGTGATGTTTGCGTGAGACAAAGCAAGGGAACGTGTATCACAGAGGTATGGAAGAGCCGAGAACAAGAAGTGTGTAGCCCTCAGCCCTTCGCAATGCGATATTCAGTGCTCGCGTTCCGGTGTCAAACCACACAATCGTAAAGTTGGAATAAGGCAAACTTGTTGGGCAAGCAAAAAAAAGGTGCCGGCAAAGATGGACAGTGTAGCCGGAGTAATGATGAGGAGACAGTAACTTACCTTGATGGTAATTGATATGTGACTAGGGCAAAAAAGAAGGTGATCGATCTCGTGTAAGAGTGAGACGAAGTGAGACTGGCCTGGAGGCTGGAGGTTGGGAGATAAACTCGATTGAGTTGTTGGAGAGAGGATGTTTGAGATGTTGGAATGAAAATTTCTCAAGGCTGATATTGATGTGGAACAAGAGGAAGGGAGAGGAGGAAGCTTTAAAGGCAGGAGTAAGTGGTGGGTGGGCGGGAGCCAGAATCTTGATCTTGGCGTGACGGTTGCTTGCTTTGCAGGAGCGAGCAGTGCTTGCCGGCTGGTAAGGCAAGTGCAGGCAGGGTACCCTGCCTAAACGGTGCGTTTCCCAGCTTGGCATTGGCGGTCTAGCAGGGCAAGCACGGCACGGGCTTGATCTTGCCTTGTCACTACATACGTCTCTTAGAGTGGGAGGAAGCTGCCATCACAGATTGAAGCGTAAATCTGCACCTAGGTCAGTACCTTGCTGCTTGGCTTGGATACCGCCTGCAGGGAGACCACCGATGGCACGGAAGGGGCCAACGCTAATACGACCCAGTCCAGTCAGGGCCCAGTTGCTGGCGGGGAAGCTAGAAAGTCCACTCCACTGGGCCGGACCGTCAAAGACACAGGCTCCAGCACAGACGGACAGGGCCAGGCACTTGGAGGCCCCCCCATGTTGACTATGATGTTGTTTTACGGGGATGTTTTGTCAACGACAGAAGGGTATTACGATGAGCCAAGCAATTTCTCATTTTTTATTTTGCTCCGCCATGATAATTGAGTCAATGCAATCGAGAATTGGGTATCCAAATCAGACGTCAATGCCGTAATTGGAGATACACAATGAGGTCAGAGCATGAGCTGTAGACGAGATGGGTCACCCCTGTCACAGCGGGGAGCGGCTTTTACAGCAACTTGTCCACGTCAGTGACGCTGGTGTAAGTGGTTGCGAGGGTCTCACAGTTAAAGTTCTTACACTCAAAATTCCTGAATGTCTGCCTAGAGGCGCATTGACTTTGCCGTTAGGGTATC